TGGTTTGACACTGCCCCCTTCCTAGGGCTGAGAGGAAGCCAAGGTCACTCAGTTGACTCTGTGGCTCAAGCAGGACTAGAACTCACATTCTCTCCATTTTTAACTTGATGCCTTAACTACCAAGCTAAAATGGCTTTCTAAATACTTTTTATACAGCAATAAATACTAAATACCTTTAGTAATGTTTCCTATTATATGGACTGGGTCCCTTCCTCAGCTGCCTTTTTCAGAAAGCATTAATCTGCATTGGGTTGAGGCAAAGAACAAAATGGCAGCTTCTCTCTAGTCCATCTACTCATGTGCTAGTTGAACCTTATTTGAACAATGGGAAGGGGCAGCATTTTTTTGCCACACCAGAGGGCAGCAAAATGGTACCAGCACACATAGCTCTCACCATAGCCAACCACAACTAAGATCTCTAAGAGGACATCATATAAAGCAGTCAAGATCCTATGAATAGAACATTTGTGTAAAACAAACCCGACAAATTAAAACCTAATTCTCTCAACAATTTATCAATGGAAAATAATACCATATTTGTGAAGCTCTAATGTACCAGTTTTGTACTTAAAGATCGTATCGGTTGACTTTTTTCTTTTTTATTCTGTTGCTTAAGGTTAATGGTAAATTTCAATTTTATAAAGCAAACAATCTTACTAATCTGTACAGACTGCAAATATTATATTAGCAACAGCTAATTCAAACTGAAAAAAATATCTGCTATAGGGCACTTTCTCATTGAGCAACCACTATTGTTCTAAGGATCGAGACATTATGTTACTAAATCTGTGGGTCTGTGTTTTTGAATACATGAGGTGTTATATATTGGAGAGGGAAAATGGTCCCCTTGCCCTTGTCATATTCCTCATCTAAACTGGAGGGCCAGCTTCGCTGTTTCCTGGAGGATATGCAGTATGCAGAATTTCCCTATCTGCAGTCAATCTCTTACACATTTCAGTCAATAGGTATCACACTATTCAGAGCACAGATATGCTTATTTGTTGATATTTTTTCTATCATAATTCAGAATACATAAGATGTTTCCCCTCCCACAGGTGATGCTTGGTGGGGAGGGAAACTAAGCCAATCACTTTCCTTAAGTTTTGCTGATTGAGGCTCGAAAGGATAGCATCTACCTTTTGAATTGTTCCTGAAATACAATAAGGGCTTGGCTGAAGGGGTTTGCAATTTACAGTCAATGGGGAACCAGTCAGCTTGCAAGGAGGTTGGCAGGTAAGTAAGGAGCTGCTGCTGGGTGGGGGAGGTGCCACAGCATGACTGCTGCCAGGCACCTCAGGGTATGCAGGCATGCAGGGTATGCAGGGGATGACATAGGTAGCCAGATTCCTCAGGAGAAAAAGCCACTGGAATGTAAACAACTTACCAGAGCAACTTGTAACTTTCCCTGCCAGCTTCCCCTTTAACTTCACTTGTTGGGAGCTGGCAGGGAAGGTTGCAATTGGTGACTGTGTGACCATGGGACTCGGCAACCATTGTAAATGCAAGCCAGTTGCCAAGCCAGAGATGCTGTGATGACTGGAACGGCAAGGACAGATCATACGTACCACTCGTTCAGCACCATCATCATAACTTTGAATGGTTACTGAACTGATTAAATGAGGACTATCTGTAATTCTACTATGTATTCATTTCAGATTCTAATCCTAAAATACTAAATCACACATTTCAAGTAAAGATTTTCAAGATTTGCCAGGAGTGTACATTAATCATTGTCTTGTTTTAAAATACAGGAGGCTGTTTCTTCCTGTAACAAAAGGAACAAATGTTCTATAAAATTAAACCTTTAAAAACAGAACTTTAAAAAGTGTTTTTTAAAAAAGTATCAAAAATCTGTTTGTAAAGATTTCTGTACAGATATACTTTAGTTGTTTGAAAGCATCTGAAAAATATAATAAATGAAAAAAGCAAGCTAAATGGGCCAACCAGATTGTCACGGATTCATTCTTGGTTTATTGCTTTCAAAAAAATGTAAATATTTATTAACATTGTTCATCAACTAAATCTGTAAATTCTCATTTTATGGCCATTCACAGATTACTTTAACCTCTTTTTTTACCACATAGTTAATCTTCTCCATGAAATTTTCTCATGTTATTATTAAGCTTTTAAAACATATTCCAGGTTCTAAAGAGAAAATATGTATTTTAGAAATATATTGTAACAATATGCTATACTGTTGATTCTACACCCATCTAGAGGTTTTAATAGTTTAACTGTAGACTCTTTGTTACACTAAATAACACAAAGAGATTTATCGGAAGGCTGATTCACTCATTATAAAAGCAGTGACTGTACAGCGGCATGTACATTACCAGTGCTTGTAGAGCAGCTTCTTTAATATTAATGTTATAGTGTATATTTTTGTTATATGGTTGACTAATGATGAAGAAGGTCTTTAAAATTTAAAGGAATCTAATTGGCATTTTCCTGTTTCAGTTTTTCTTACCTGTCTATTCTTTGTTTTTAAGGATAAAGTAGAACTAATTCTGCAAGCCTGAATTTGATCCCAAATTATTTTGGCACAGAGCCAACCAAGAGGGCTTCCAAAAGATCAATATGGCCATGGATATTGTTACACCTTTTAAATACAAGCAGATTTTTGATCATTCAGTCACAGTCACCATATTGGTGGGTTGTTGTTTTTGTTTTGTTTTTTTGCTGCGCCCTGCAGAAAGCTAAGAGAACCCAAAGAGAAAAGTGTGAAGACAAAGAGAGTTGAATGACAGGAAACAGAAGAAAGGAAAAGGATATGCATCCAGGAATACGGGAGCTTTTAAGATAAGAAATTCTGTAGATAAGCAGAGAGTTTTGCACCTTTAAACAGACATCTCATACTCCATATTGTTTATTCATGTATTGGTATAGTTAATAGTTTAGTTGTTGATAACAAACTGACCCATCCAGTCAGCATACTATACACCACCAAGTAATGCCAAGAAGAAAGCTATTATGAAACAAAATAAATCAGATTAAGAAATCTATATTTCTCATCTTAGGTGTGGGAAGGAAGATTTTAAACTATTTAGCCCCACCCCCCCCCAACTTACAAATAATGCCATTTCTAAGTAGAATTTTTTTTAGCAAAATAATATATTCCACAAAAAATAGATAAAAGAAAAAATGTGCTGTTTTTAAACTTATAAATGGATGAAAATAAAATAGCACAATATTTAAAGCCAAACAAAAATGTACTGAAAGAGTTTTAAATATATAAAAAAACAACTTAAATGCATGAGGAAACACTTAAATATTGCAACCAGCATCACAGAGACAAACACAGGTTTGAGATATTCCATCTACTCAGATAAAGCACTATGAAGATTCAATGCAAATTCTAGGCTTCTTAATATATGGTCATAGAACCCCTGGGGATCTCCCAAGACCATATCAGAGATCTCTGTAATCAAAATTATTTGCCAGACATTGAAAATACTTGCAAAATTTAAAATAATATCATGTATGATTCAAAAAATATGTATTCTATGAATGCGTTATTTTTAATTTTTAATATGAATATCAATAAATATATTTTTTATTTTTAAAAAAAGCTCTTTTGGGATCCTCTGTGGTTTAAAAAGTGGAAAGCGGTCCTGAGAGCAAAACATTTAAGAAACACTGTTCTAGATGTTGCATTTCATTAAAAACTGGAAATCATCTATGAAAAAAATGTATGCATTATTTTCTTTTTTAAAAGTGTTACAGATCCCTCGCAGTGGCTACCCTCTCACGATGCCTGGAAGCTGTGGGGGCATAGATGAGGGAAAACAGGTTTCAGCTGACTCTTGGTAACACAAAGTGGCTGTAGATATGCAGAGCTTCAGGATCCATTATCATCATTAATTCCGGATTCTACCCCAGGCACACCTGTTATGCAATTGGGGATTCCCCTAGACTCATGACTCCTGCTCAGATGGCATCATGATTAGGAGGGCCTTTGTGTTGTGTGCCAACTTTGCCCTTTTCTGGATCGTGTGGTCTGGCACTCAGTCACCCATGCCCTGATCATCTTGTGTTGGATTACTGCAATGCACTCTATGTGGGGATATGCTTGAAGAGTATTCAGAAACCACAACTGGTCCAGAATGCAGCAGTGCGGACAGGGTGGCACATATAACACCACTGTTATGTGAGCTGCACTGGTTACTGAATTGTGTCTGGGTCCAATTCAAGGTATTGGTTATCACTTTTAAAACCCTCTGTGGCATGGGTCCAAGATATTTGTGGAACCATCTTTCCGCAATGCAACTGATGCTCCGTCCGCTTGTGCTGGCAGAAGGCCTTGTGTGAACCCCATCAGCCAAGGAATTTCAGCTAATGGAATCCAGAGTAAAAGCCTTTTCTGCCACGGCCCCCACCCCTTGCCCCACGAGGTGAAATCCACCTCCATCTTTTTTAAGGCTTCAGGAAAAGTCTTAAAGCTTGGCTAGCTGGCTGCCATGGGGCCTGGAAAGAGCTGTTAGCAGGAGGTGGTTGGTGCAATAACAGAGAAGGCATCACCACTTCTCTACTCCAAACATGTGATTATTTTTAGGTTGTTTTAATGTTTTGTAATTTTAATGTTTTATATTCTTAATTATTTTGATATCTGCATGTTTTATCATATTAAAAACTGATCAGAGTCACCTCAAACCACAAGATGGGCAACAATGCAGTTAAAGAAAAGGAAGCAAAACAACCTGTTACTCAAGATGACCCAGAAATTGCTATTGTGGCAGGTATTTTTTTAGAATATTATTAAAGCCAAAGTTTATAGTATTATGTGTTAATTTTATGACCAATTAATCACACAGAATTTTCACCAGAGGCACAATCCTATGCATATAAATTTAAATTCTCAGTGCCCACCTCAAATGACAGCCTTTAATTATTGCTATAAATCAATAAGATGCTGGGTTAAAATGAAACCAACTGCTACTGAGGTAATGATTTCACATTAAGAGAATAAATTCTAAGGCTATGTAAGGTGAGACCACTCTTACCTCCATGGGAAACGCTTTAAAATTAACTGTGTGTTCTGAGCCACGCTGATTTTCTCTGCCCCAGTGAAATCGAACATTGTGAAGTTCAAATTCATGGCCCCGAGGTAATGGGCCTCCCACTAACACTGGAAAACAGCACAATACAAATTATTGCAAGTGATATTCATGGCTAGCAATGTTCTAAAACCACTCTGAACAAACAGTTGGAAAATTGTTTCTCTTTGGGCAAAGGTCAAATATGAAAGCTGCAGTGGAGTTCACAATTAACACCGTTGGTAGAGCAATACTGTATACTTCATGGTTATACTATGCAAATAGTATTCGGTTGCATTCTTTTATTTATGTAATGTCACAGTTTCTTAGTGAAAAATATATGCTGAGCCGTGTTTATGAAAACAAAATATACTGTATAGGAGGTCCATGTTTTACTATGTGACAGTTGCCTTGAGACTATATTTGGCCATTTGAATACAAGAAAGAAATAAGCAGGAAAAAGCAGTGGCTGAACACACACATTGCTGTAACCCACTATGTGTTTTGTTTGGCTGTAGCTTCACATATTGTCTGATTTCAGCTATTGAGGCTTATTCAACTAACTGTAGATAAAACTTGAGCTCCATGTGTGAGCCCTGCTAATGTGTAATAATGAAGAATGATCAGCTAGTCAAAACAATTTGATAGAGAGCAGAAACAGGAGGCAAGTAAACCTCAGATGCACAGATTCTACAAAATTGTATATGAGTTTGTTAGATGTTAGAAAACACCAGCAAATGAGAAACCATTTTGGATGGTGTCTTTCTCCCTACACAATTCATACAAATATATTTGGGGGATATATTGAAATATTTTAAGTTGTATATTTCTCCTGTGTTAAAACTATATATTAATAAATGCATGCCAATGTTACAAAACATACATTATAGTCTTCAATTACTTCCGTCCAGCCAGGCTCAGAAAGTTATTACATTGCTCAAGTTCTCATTGAAAGTTTGAAAAGTGATTTTTTTAAACCATTTTTTCAGAAATATTGTGGATGAAAAATGATACTGTCATTATAACAGTATATTCTGAAGTTGTCTTAGAAGATTACACATACACATACATTATTTGTAAGCATTTTTTTATTTTAAGCTTGTGGAGTTTTGCTTATTATATTCTGCATAACTAAAAACAAAATAATTGTCTGAGAAGGAAAGATTGTTTGATAGATTTAGATAAAAAGTGTTGAACTTTGTAATCTTATTGCAGCCTGTAAAAGAGAAGTGTCATGGCCAAAGCAAAACATCAGTCAGCCTTGGATCTGGTACATAAAAACAGATAAGGCAGATAGTTAAGGCTCTTTTTCCCTTGATAATTTAACAACAACAAAAGTAACCAGACTGGTAAATTAAAAGGGAAACTGTGAATTTTGAGATCAACAACTTTACTGCATATACAGTATAATAAGGCCACGTTTTAAAAAACAGGGAGGTGGATGAAATCCTAAATTCCAATGTTCCTTTCCTGCCAAAAAGCCACCCCAAAGTATGTATCTGCTCTGGAAGAAATTAAAGGAAATGCCTTCATCTCTATGCTGCAGTAGGCTAGACATACCCACTTTTGACACAAATCCTGTATCAGTACGTATGCAACATATGCCTTGCTCCAATTTGCAACTGGGTGAGATATGGTGGGCATAATTTTTCCCTGATTTCTGTTTGTAATTTTGAAGAATATCTAAAGTGGACTTAAAAACCTTCCAGACTCAAAGCTACAAGTTACCAGGGCAGTATTTCTTCTAATCATAATGAGATTTCTTTTTGTCTAACCCTAGCTGCCTCATATCATTTAGAACATTGCCAGGAATATTATAAATAATCAACTCTGAATGCTGGCGAAGGAAATGTTTGTTTAAAATGTATACTAGAGAGGGCAATTTCTGAGCTCTTTTCTATTTGAAAGAGATATAAGTGTTGTATATTCATATCTCCTATTGCACACACATTACATGTATGTTTCCTGGTGGAGTGAGGTCTCATTCCTTTTACTCCCAGCAATCAGCCATCTGCTTTTCCAAGCACCTTTGAGTTACAACAATATGTAACTAATGTCTCCATGAGGTTTACAGGATGCTTTTTCCATAGTGATCAAACATAGGTTATGTACATGAAAGCAGAGAAGTAGGAATTCAATATTCTCTAAGCAGACATTCTACTGATATATTGAACTATTGTTCATGATCTGAAAAGTATGTCCAAAAGCTAAACTGATAAAAAAAGTCAAAGGATTTAAGTTCAATAATATTTAGACGCCATCAATTTGGTCAAGGGTAACTGAAGTACTGCATTTCCTGTGCCCCAGTTTGACAGTGAAAATTAAAATGAAATAAATTAAGAGTCCTGATAATCAAGAAAGCCCTAGTCAACCAGTTATTTAATACATGGAACATCATTTTCCTTCACTCTTATACTTTGTAATGCACAGTCATAAAATTTCAGTTCCGATTCAGTTCAGTTCAGAGATCAGATCACAGACCTTGGCTCAGTCTCTTCATAAATGTACTATTGAATTGAATTGATTGAATTAATGTAAATGAAAGAGGATTCAGATAAACTGGAGCAAGTTCAGAGGACAATAAAGCTGAAGAGCACAAAGAAAAATTGAGAAAAACGCATACCTTACAGCAATAAGAAAACAGAGGGAGAATTTTATCACACTGTACATATACATAAAGGGATTTTGTACAGACAAAGATTCCAATCTCTCAGAATGCAGATGATGAAATTCATTTGAGTTAAAGAAAAACAGATACTGGGTGAATGTTAGGATAAATTTCCTTCCAGCTAAGAACAATTTGACAGTGGAACCAATTATTAGGAGTGTCCTCTACTTCCTAGGATGAATTCAACGAAAGCCCAGATAGTTCTCTGACAAGAATTTATTATTTTAAATTACTACCATGAGCAGCAGATTGGATTTAATGCCTAAATAGCCCCATTCAGTTCTCCAATTCAAATAGAATATTTCTGAACATGTTGCTACTATTGATACTAATGATAAGTAACATAATTTTAAAATGAAACAATGGATGCTGGTATCAGCTTATCCTAAAGCAAACAAAGGAAGTAAGTAGTGAAGAAAGCATACTTGATTTAGTCTTTAAGAGGATCTGAACTAAGTGTCCGTCATTGATGATCTCACAATCACGGCATACAACATAATTTGTTGATAAGCATACTTCCAGTAACAATGGGTCATATTTGGCCTCTCTTGAATTCAAGTTAATGGGAGATTGATATTCCCCATTTGCATCAGGAAAGATTAGCCCCCACTCAACACCTGAAAAAAGAGAATAACACATTTCATTGAAATGAAAGTTAACAGTTTTCCTATGTGCTCTTAGAAAAATGGACTATAACAAGATTTATCCTGTTCTGCTATACATTTTTCCAAGTCTATTGAAGATAGATCAGAAGTAAAAAGTCTGACATCAGATTAGTCCAAACAAGAGGCAGGTGGAAACTGTCCCTCCCATCCAAATGAGAGTAGTTAAATTAGTTAGGCCACAGAGGCAAAAAGGAGCAACACAAGAATTTAACCTTGATTTCATTAACAGGGTTTTCATTTGAAGCACAGCAGTCACTGGATTTCTTTTATAATAGCACCACTAGCTTCTGCTTTTTATAGCTCACATTATCAAGAGAAGTGGGACAAAAATCCCTAGGAAAATGAACCAAAATTATTTATATATATCATATTTCAAGACCAAAACAGGGTCAAAGTATTAACTATTCAATGAACGTTTATCCAGAGGACTGCTTCTTTGTATGCAAATAGCAGCTTCAAAGTTATAGTTTGTATAAGAGCTACAACTTTTAGAAAGATTGTGTTTTCCACCTGCTTAATGCCAGGAATGAACAATGTATGCCCACATATTTGAGAGGGTGCTTTTTCAAAAATGCTTGTCAAGCAAAGATGCATTTAATCTCTCATCCGCTTTGGGCCAGCAGGTCATGCCAAAGATTTCTTCTTAAGAACATTTAAAGTACCATAATATAAAATACAAATGCCAATGATTTCTTTAGGAAAAATAAAACTACATGACAAAACAGCTCCTGTTCTCATTTTCAATTCCTATTATCACAATCATTGATCAGAAATAAAAAATATATATATTCAGGTTGATTTAAGGACAAGTCAAAGACTACTTTAGATTGCCTCATTGGATGAACACAGAATTGAAGTGATCGTCATCTGATGAACACAGAATAAACTAACTATAGAACAGTGTCATTTCTGACATGCAATAACCTGACAGGGATCTACAAGTAAAATTCCAGCAGGTATGTTAAACAGGAGACAGCCAAAGAATCCCTAAATTAACATTTTAATAACACATGAGCTACTAATTCCTACTATCTTTAAGCCATAAAAATGTCCTTCAGGTATAAAAACTGGAAATCAGGATTTTAAGAGAAAGTTTGCTTAGCCTGAGTAAAGGTCATGAAACATCACAAAGCAGGGAATACATTTAAGTTGATTAAAACTCTTTTTAGGTTAAAGGAAAGAATTGAATTCCTGTTTAACATCTTCTCAAATGTGTTTTTCAAAAGGCAACTAGATATTCTTGGGGGTTTTTTCCCCATGAAAATATTTTGCTTCTCATCTAAGAAGCTTCTTCAGTTTTTCAAGGAAAAAACCAGAAAGTCCAGTTGCCTTTTGAAAAGAACTTTTGGGACATCCATGATCTGGATGATTGAGAATTTTCATAGATGTTTAATGTCTTGATTTCACCAAATAAAATCTAACTTTTCTAGTTTTGTATAATGCTTCCTTCCCATCATCTCAGAAAATGTACATTGTTAATTTTTCACCCCAAACACAGGAACAGCATCCATTCCTGCATGCACATGCAATTTTTCATTTAATATCACTTAATTTTCACTTAATAGCCTGAAGAATCTGAATCCTAACAAATCCACACTACTGAAATTTTGTTTTCTTAATCCTATATCACGTGATCACTGTGTACACAACATCTCAGCTACAACTCTGGCTCCATGCTGCCTTGAAAGGAATGCCACAGGTGATAAAAAAGAAAAACCCCAAGAGATTAAAAATCCTTTCCAGGGACCACAGCAGTTGTAAGTAGGACTCGGTCACTCCAATTCCTCAGTTTTGAACGCCCCATGGCAGTGTGTTGTTAAAGCGACTCTGAAACTTTTTATTTTTTGTTTTACCTCCAAATAAATCTCTCACTTTTGGATGCAGCTGGCTTCACCTGGCAACCTTTCATTTTCGTCGGAAGAAAATTGCTTTACTGAACACCCCAGACAGAATCTGATAACCAAGGCAAGTATTACCTGCACATATTGATGGGGACAAGAGCCAGCATGGGCTTTACTTTCCGTCTTCTCCCACTCCTCCGACTGGTCGCAGCTCACAAACTCTACCCAGCCCCCCCCCCCCCCGCTGCCGCCGCCCCCCCGGCCGCCGCCTGCTTACCTTCTTCATAGCCCCAATCCACACTCTCCTGTCTCTCAGCGACTTGCCCCGATTCCTCCATGAAGCTGCCAGCTTTTTCCGCGCTTCGCGGGCGCTCCCGGGAAAAACCCCGCGCGGAAGTTTGCTCTCCGCCTGGTTGTGTGCCTGAACTGAAAATAGGAGCCGGCGCTTTCTTTGCGAACTGCTAGGTTGGGACTGTGTGAAGACAGGCAACTTGGCTGCAAAGAGACACGTGTTCAGAAGGCGGTGCCTCTCTTGAGACGGGGCGGTTTGTGCTTGTGCGCAACTAGCTGCGTCCGCACTGTTGCTTAGGTTAACGGTGTTAAGGAAAGAAACATCCATGTCAGAAGGTCGAAAGGGTAAGGCGATGCAGTCTAGAAAATGTGGTGAAGAGGAAGTTGGGAAGTGTGGCCTGGATCAGTAGGGAATTAACTAGAGTTTATAACCCTCCTTGCTTTCCCCTTGGTCTCTACCCCATTTCGGAAATGTTTATAGCTGACACTTAAATTGTAATAAAGGAAAGTTGTTTTTTCAAACGCTGTATTACTAAATGTGGGTCTATTTCTAAATCAACAATCTCTTAAAGTATCTTCAATCCTAATTTCAGTTGTCAGGAATACTCATGCCAAGGGCCTGTAATTTAATTATCTAATATTGTGCTATATTGTTTCAGACAACCAGTTTGTTTACAGAGTTTGGGCTTCCCAATCCCTGTGGCTCATTTGCTTAGCCATGATTAACACTATTTTCTCAAGCCACATTTATGTGTTTGCATGATATCAGAAACCATAACATGCTAGATTTATGCAATATTCTAGACTAAAATGTGGTTAACCTAATCCCTCACCTTCCTCTCATTCCTGATCGAGTTTATAATGGCAGGAAAAACATAGATACAACTGCCTTATTAGAGGGGAGTTTCCTTTTTATATTGCTTTGTGGAATTGACAAGGTGTTTCTGAGAAGCTTAAATGAATACACTTAAACACTGACAGTAAATTAAGAATTATAAAGGTGATTTAAAATGTCACTGACAAATCAGTCTTCCAGACTATCTGTCCATCTATATCAGTGATGGCAAACCTTTTAGAGACCGAGTGCCCAAACTGCAACCCAAAACCCACTTATGCATCATCAGGTGCTGGGTGGGTGTGGCCCATTGGGTGGGCAGTGGTAACGGCAGACTGGGTGGGACTAAAAAGTTCAATCAATCAATTCCAACTTTCCAAGATCTTTTTTCCTGTGAGAAGTTGAAATTGATTGATTGAACCTTTTTTTTTTTTTTTTGCACATGGCGGAGGCCTAAAGTGAAAAGGTTTTATAAAACCCAGCTGAACGCCTAGGACTGGGGTAATGGCCCATAGAGAGGGCTCTGAGTGCCGTCTCTGGCACCCGTGCCATAAGTTCGCCACTACTGATCTATATAAACAAATAAACTGAAAAGCAACATTTGGTATCAATGTTTATTCTCACTTTCCCTCCTTTAAACCTCCTAGAAAGATTCATTTTTTGTTTCTAAAAGTTTCAGAATGGAAGAATTTTTATCAGGTTTGTCTGACAAGCTACAAGGAAGGATGAATCAGTACTGGGGTTTGATGAAACGTAAAATACAAAGTAATATTTAACTGCTGCAAATAATTTATTTTCAAAGTGGCTTATTCACTCTTAATAAAGCATATTAAGCATAACACTACTCTGGCAAAAACTACATTTAGGCTTAGCAAATTCAAGCACATTCAATCTTTGTAACTGAGATACAGGTAACTTAAACCTTTTGTTTAGTGACTGTTCAAAGCTACAATGGCATTGAAAAAAGTGATTTATGACTGTTTTTCACGCTTATGACCATTGCAGCCCATGGTCACATGATCAAAATTCCAACACTTGGAAACTGGTTCATATTTATGACAGTTGCAGTGTCCCAGCATCACATGATCACCTTTTGCAAACTTCTGACAGGCAAAGTCAATGGGGAAGCCAGATTCATATAACAACTGTGTTATTAAAATAACAACTGCAGTGTTTCACTAAACTGTGGCAAGAAAGGTTGCATGGGGCAAAACTCACTTAACAACTATCTTGCTTAGCAATAGAAATGTTGGGTCAATTGTGATCATAAATCTAGGACTATCCGTACTTGTAGTTCAGTGTATAATGGAGATGCAGCCAGTACCTATTCTCATCACAAATTGACGGCCAGCTTCTATCAATCTCCCCAGAAGTTGTGAATGCTCCAAGACTGGAAGTTTTTAAGAAAAGACTGGACAGCCATTTGTCTGAAATGGTATAGGGTTTCCTGCCTGAGCAGGGGGTTGGACTAGATGACCTTCAAGGTCCCTCCCAACATCATCATCATCATTACTATTATTATTATGGATCATCGCACAGTCAGCCAGATGTTCAGACTGGATTTGGCATTTTGTCTACCTATCGAGTCCTTACCCAGGACCTGGGATAGGCAGATGTGGATGTTTGATGGTATTACAGATATCATCGCAGGATGGAAGCAGTTCCTAGTAAGGTCGCCTTTTGCAATTGACTAATAGCGAATTTGTCAATGCCAATGGTGTTCAAGTGGTGCTCCAGTTGTTTTGGGATATTACTATTATTATTATTATCATCATCATCATCTTCATGCAGGAGAATTATTTGTCATGTCTTCATCTGAGCCCTTCCCCTGCTAACAAAATAATGTTTAGGATTACCTAATCCACATTGGATGGTGTTGGAGAAGACTCCTGTGAATACCAGGACAGCCAACCCAATGGTTCATTGTGCAACTAAACCCAGAATTCCCACTTGGGGCACAAATGACTGGGCTCAAATTATCCTACTTTGGACTCATTATGTGGAGACCTAGTTACCTAGAAAAGGCTCCAGCACTGGAAAAAGTGGAAGGAAAAAAAGATAAGGCTGATATTAAGGCAAACAAATTCAGTTATAGTGGCAATAGGTGCACCATTGGAAGTCTTGAGAGACTAAGTTAGGGACAGATCATCTATGAGGTCACTAAAAGTCGACACCAACTTGATAGTACATAATCATCTGAGATCTGAAAAGACTTTTCTATGCAGTTTGTTACCTACATACTTATAAAGATCCTAAAGGTTGTGTTCACAACATAAACTACTACTAGCTAGCCAACCTTATTTTAACAATTTTATGCTAATCCAGCACATAGCAGTGTGTCATCTAAACCAGGACAATGGGCTAATTGAATAAGATTAAGCATGGTTTATTGAATGGAGCGGATATATTTTTAAGCTGAGAAACATACTGTTGCTCTCACATACAGTCCAGGAACTGAATTTGAAGAGGATTTTAAAATATGTCGTCCCCAAACATTCCACTCTTGTGCAAAAATTAACTAAAGAATGTGCATATGAGAAGCAAAAAGTGCAAGAAAAAATGTGAAGAAAAATAGAAAAGAAAAAAGATACAAAGAGATTATAAAACAGCAGCTATAAGTACAATTATATTTTAACTCTCTCTCTCTCTCTAAAGGTACATCGTAATTTCTGTCTATAATCTATTCTACTAATCAAAGCCATAAATCCTGTCTAATAATGAAAGCTATGAATCACAAATTTTGTTTTTCATATTTATGCGAAAAGTCCATAAGAGATTTTCTATCACCGCATATTGCTGTTCCTGACCTGATTTTTTTTCTTCTGCCCCCCCATACCCCTCTGAGTGGAAAGATTGCCTAAACAACCTATCTCAGTGGTGGTGAACCTATGGCATGGATGCCAGAGGCGGCACTCAGAGCCCTCTCTATGGGCACACGTGCTGTTGCCCCAGCCTTGCCTTCCCCCGCGACCCCCTCCTCACCAACAGCTCCCCCTGGAGGAGATCGCCCCAAGTGAGGCCCACATGGAGCAGCACAGCCAAGGACATGGCAGCCAGGTAGCATAGAAAAGACTCTGCCCTCACGCCTCATCATGCACAGTTGATGCTGCAGGGCACAAGCAGAGGGTGTGGCCACCATGGCGCTGCTGGGCTGCCTGGGCAATCTGTGGCAGGCCCTGGAGGCAGTGAATGGCCCTGCGGGCAGGCAGGGTGGGGGCAGGGCAGGGGGTGGAGCGGGGGCGGGGCCAGTTTTTGGGCACTTGGTCTCTAAAAGGTTTGCCATCAGTGACCTATCTCATCCTGAATTGCCTTCCTCCCTAGCATGCTACTCCAAGTTAACAAACTCAGTTCTATGACTTAATGACTTGATTAGAATCCTCCAGCCAACTGGCACATCTGCCTGACACTGACAAGACCCTAATCAATTTCATACTAAAGGTTTTTGTCTCCTAGACCACTTGCTAGGTAAACTTCTGGCGCTAATATATTCCTTTCCATGTGTGTTCCCCCATTGTGTTCCTGCTTGCTCCTCTTATAATGCCTTCCTTTCCAATGAATATAAAACAACAATTCTCTTCTTACAGGTAATCGTTGACCTGTAAAATCTGTTTAGTGACTGTTCGAAGTTACAGTGGCACTGAAAAAGTGGCTTATGACCATTTTTCACACTTACGATCATTGCAGCATCCCCATGGTTACATGATCAAAATTCAGATGCTTGGCAATTGGTTCATATTTATAACGGTTGCAGTGTCCCAAAGGCATGTGATCATCTTTTGTAACCTTCTGACAAGCAAAGTCAATGGGGAAGCCAGACTCACTTAACTGTGTTACTAAATTAACACCTAAAGTGTTTCTCTTAACAACTATGGCAAGAAAGGTCATAAAATGGGGCAAAACTATCTCACAACAACAGAAATTATGGGCTCAATTATGGTCACAAGTCAAAGACTACCTGTACTAATTATCACCAAAACCAGGGTGAGCATTCCCAAGGGTGGCCAAGGAGGGGGGAGAAGGGCTACTAGAATTACCCTTTTACCTGGCTTCCTCAGGAGTAAAATTCCAGACACCTTTCACACTGGGCTCACCAGACTGTTTGGGGTATAGCCTTCGGAAGCTATAAAGCATGGCTGTCAAACTCGATCGCATCATGTGATGTATCGTGATGTATCGTGACATTTTTTACCTTTGTGGAGCTGGGGTGGGCGTAACCTATGCATGACACATCTGGCCCTCAGGCCGCCTGTTTGGCACCCCTGCTATAAAGCAAAGGAAAGCTAAAATAAAATTGTAAGCATTCACAGTCATGTGATTTTTCACTTAGTGAATGCTTTGCTAATGACCAGGTTGCCA